ATGTACAGATAGCCAACAGACATATAAAAAGGCATTCAACATCACTAATTATTAAGGAAATACAAATCAAACCAAAATGAGATATCACCTTACACCCATTACAATGGTTATAATTAACAAGACAAGAAATAACAAGTGTTGGAGAGGATGTGCAGAAAATGGAACCCTCGTACACTGCTGGTGGGAATGCAATCTGGTGCAGCTACTATGGAAAACCAGTATGGAGATTTCTCAAAAAACTGAAAATAGAAATACCATATGATCCAATTAGTCCACTACTGGGTACTTACCCAAAGAGTATGAAATCAACAATTCAAAAAGATATATGCACCACTCTGTTCATTGAAATATAATTCACAATAGCCAAGACATGGAAGAAACCCAAGTGACCATCAATGGATAAATGGATAAAGAAGATGTGGTATATACATGCAATGGAATACCACTCAGCTGAGAAAAAGACAACTTCATGCCGTCAGTGACAACATGAATGGAACTTGAGGGTATTATGCTAAGGGAAATTCTTCAGACAGAGAAAGACAAATACCCTATGATTTCACTCATACGTGGAAGATAAACACATAGATAAAGAGAACAGATTGGTGGTTATCAGTGGGGAAGGTGGTAGAGGGATAGCGAAAGGGGTAAAGGGGTACATATGTATGGTGACAGATAAAAACTAGACTATTTGTGGTGAACACAACACAGTCTATACAAAAGCTGAAATACAGTAATGTACACATGAACTTTACACAATGTTATAAACCAATGTGGCCTCAATAAAATTATTAAAAAACAAAAAAAACAGGAGTGGAAGGACATCACCTAGGATGGACAACCTTGGGTGTTTTCAAAATGAATTTAAGTACTCAGTGAGTTTATAAGGCCCTTGGAAACTCCCATAGCCATAGCCACTTGTACATAGGATGGTGCATATAGAGACCTGAAGATGGAATACCAGCCCTCCAAGACAAGTCTCAAAGATTTTAATAACCATACTTCATGCCCAAGTAACTTGTTGCTTTGGCTTTCAAATTCCTCTTGTTGTTTATTGAATAGTTGCCACAGTAAAGTTAATATGACCACTGGTTTCATGCAGTTCTTTTTAGTATCTCCATCAGTTTTGACTCCTTTGCTGTTTCTGGAGTAACTTTATGTCCTTTTCCTAGTGTCAACAAAATCTTACCAAAATTTTCCATCCAAACTGAGCTACCTGCTGACTCCCTAGAACGCTAACCACTGGCCAAGACAAACATTGTAGGGAGTATTTATTTCTCAGCAACACATCAATTGCTGTCATCCCTAAACTCACATCAGAAGTGGATTTTTCTTCATTCGTTGCTCTGTAACAGTGAGTAGTAAAAGGGTAGACTTTGAGCCTCTTTCAAGTCTCACCCTCTCTTCTGCATACAAATGTATTTATTTTGTTCTCCTCAATTTTCTGTTTTTCCTTCTTTTCTTTTGGACTTCAGTACAAGAATAAGAGGGAGACACAAGACATCTTTTTCTTTTTACACAATCACTTTCTTCTCTATTCATTGAGGAGATGCAAACAATATATGACTTGCCAATGCTGAGATCCCACATGAATCCACCCCAAACCCCACTCTTTTTCCCCTGTTTCTGTGGCACAACTCTTATCATTCTCTGTCCCCTGAGACTGTGCAAGACAGACTAAATACAGTAAATAACAAAAAAGGAGTGATGTTCAGAATGTTGGTGAGAGCTGCCTGACACTCCTTCCTCTTTTTTTGGCATCCATAGTTTTAATTCCACATTCATTTGTGTGTGTGTGTGTGTGTGTGTGTGGAATTGTGAAGTGTCAGAGGGGTGTGATAGCGACTCACCCTTTCATCTTTCCCTTACACTTCAACTATATTTCCTATTTACTGACTTCTCCATTTGTCCACATTATACAGTGTAAATTTTCCCTTACCACACTTCAAAGGCTGAGTTCTTCAAGGTTTTTCCTGGAAAATTTGGCATGCCAATGTCAAAATAGCTCTTCATCTACCTCTATTGAAACCATTGATTGTGGTTTATCAGCCAATCTATTCTACCCTCAATTCTCATTAGTTGTGGTTGCCTGGACTTCCACTTGAGTGAGGAAACTTGTCCCAGGTTAGTAGGGCCTTAAATGGATATTTTAATTGGGAGTCAAGTAACATCCCACAAAGGCTTTTCTGGAAGTTGAGATACAACATCCATTGAAACCAAGGGAGTGCTTTATCACTATTTTGATGCTCATTTTTTGGTGTGAATAGAGGGATTGTTAAAATGCAGATTTCCAGGTAATACTTCTCAGAAATCCTGATTCCACTAGTCTGGTATAGGGCCCAGAACATGAACATTTCCCCGGAAACTCAGATGATTCTAATACAAATGATTTTCTACTCTCACTCAGCAAAATTAACCTCGGACTTCCCTCTATTGATCAGGTGAGTTATATTGTTTGCAAAGGAATTAAATATTGTTTTTTCACATGCAGTTTAGACACAGCCATATTTGTATCATTTTAAGAAATTTATTTTGTTTGTGGGCACATAAGCTTTTTTTAAGTATATAACTGTAATGTACAGGCATAAGTCGAAGATACTGTGAGATCGGTTTCAGACCACTGCAATAAAGGGAATATCACAATAAGGTGAATCCCACAAACCTTTTGGTTTCCCAGTGCATATGAAAGTTATGTTTACACTATACTGTAGTCTATTAAGTGTGCGATAGCATTATGCCTAAAAAAACAATGGACATACTTTAATTAAAAAATACTTTCTTGCTAAAAAATATTAACCATCATCTGAGCCTTCAGTGAGTCGCCTTCAGTGAGTCATAATCTTTTGGCTGGTGGACGGTCTTGCCTTGATCGTGATGGTTGCTGACTGATCAGGGTGGTGCTTGCAGAAGGTTGGGGAGGCCGTGGCAATTTCTTAAAATAAAACAACAATAAAAATCACCGCATTGATTGATTCTTCCTTTCACAAACCATTTCTCTGTAGCATGCAATGCTATTTGACAGCATTTTACCCACAGTAAAGCTTGTTTCAAAACTGGCGTCAATCCGTTCAAACTCTGCTGCTGCTTTACCAACAAAGTTTATGTAATATTCTAAATCCTTTGTTATCATTTCAACAATCTTTACAGCATCTTCACCAGGAGTAGTTTCCATCTCAAGAAACCACTTTCTTTGCTCATCCATAAGAAACCACTCTCATCCATTAATCAGAAGATCTCAGTAATTCAGTCACATCTTCAGGTTCCACTTCTAATTCTAGTTGTCTTGCTATTTCTACCACATCTGCTGTCACTTACTCCACTGAAGTCTTGAACCCCTCAAAGTCATCCAGGAGGGTTGGAATCAACCTCTTCCAAACTCCTGTTAATGTTGATATTTTGACCTCTTCCCTTGAATCATGAATGTTCTTAGTTGTTCTAGAATGGTGAATCTTTTAGAGAAGGTTTTCAATTTCAATTCCTTTGCCTAGATCCATGAGAGGAATCACTATTTATTGACAGTTATAGTCCTAAGAAATGTGTTTCTTTAATAAAAAGATCTGAAAGTCAATATTACTCCTTGATCCATGGGCTGCAGAATCGATGTTGTGTTAGCAGGCATGAAAACAACATTAATCTCATTGTACACCTCCATCAGAGGTCTTGGCTGAGCAGTAATATTTTGAAAAGAGTCTTTCTTTCTGAGCAATGTGTCTCAACAGTGGGCTTAAAATATTCAGTAAACCATATGGTGAATAGATGTACTGTCATCCAGACTTTGTTGTTTCATGTATAGAACACAGGCAGAATACATTTAGCAAAATTCTTAAGGGCCCTAGGATTTTCAGAATGGTAAATGAGCATTGGCTTCAACTTAAAATCATCAGCTGCATTAGCCCCTAACAAGTGAGTCAGCCTGTCCTTTGAAGCTTTGAAGCCAGGCATTGATTTCTCCTCTCTAGCTGTGAAAGTCCTCAAAAGCACCATCTTCCAATATGAGGCTATTTCGTCTACATTGAAAATCTGTTGTTTAGTGTAGCCATCTTCACTAATTACATTAGCAATATCTGTGAAGCACAATAAAGTGTAGTACAATAAAACAAGGTATGCCTATATGCTGGTTCTAACCTAATGTTATTAGAACTTCCGGGATTCTCTCATCTATATATCATTCAAGAATAGATTTCTCAGGCAGTGCTAATAAATGGTTGCTCATCCATAAGCAAGCTTGGCTGGTCTGATTTTTGAATAAAAATGTCTTTAGACTATTTTTATTTTGACTTTCTTAGATTTATTTCAGATTTCTGATAGCTAACATCTATTGTATAATATAATAACTACAGGATTTCTTGCGACTAAAAGAGGGCGACATTTCCAAAGTAAAACCAATGGGTATTTTCCACAATGCATTTGAAACAGTATACCAGATGCCAGAGGCTCAGAAGCTTCTTTCAGAGGCAGCAGATTATTCGTGTTCCAGAAAAAATAAAGAAATAAAAATAACGTTCATTAAAGGATTTCCTATTTCTATAACAGTGAAAACGTAAAAAATAAAACAATAAAATACCAAGAAACCGTACGGTAATTGATTAAACCATGGACTCTGTGGTCTGAGTCTGGTATCACAATCTTGCACGCTCTGCTGGCTGGGCAACCTTGAACAATTTGCTGAACCTCCTGTGCCCTACCTTCCTCATCTATATGTTTGGAATCATGATAATACCTCCCTCATGGGGTTTCAGGAAAAACTGTTTAAAATTTTAGTATGTTAGTTTTCTCATCTTTCAAATAGTGATAATAACAACACTTTTAGCAATGCTGAGTTGCTGTGAAGATTAGAGGATTTATTACATGAAAGGTGTTTAGGATGGTAAATGCGTTGATACACATATGACATTTAAATGGTGCTTGGCAGATATTGAACATTCAATAAGTGTTAGTCATTATGATAAAATACTAAGAACTTGAAAAGAATTTTTTCTGTTTTTACTTGTAGGTGAATAACTATGGACAACACAGACACGTATTTGTTCAACTTCAAAGGTTTTTATTTTGTACGTTCTTTAGTTAATGTTGACCTACTAAAAAATATAGATGATTTTGAAATTAGAGATGATGATGTCTTCATAATTACATATCCAAAATCTGGTAAGTTTGAGGAGTGGGCCACCTGTTATCAGTCTTCTCTCTGGTTTGGTGACAGATGTGTACCAAGGGGCCCTTTTCCAGACATTGGCAGGAGCCCAGTCTACCTTTAGACAATGATTTAGGATTAGAAAAAAAGTTAAATAAATCTCAAATTTCTACTATGTGAGGCTATTTGAGATGCATATATTGTCATTTCTGACAGCACATAAGAAAACAAATATTGAGCCAATGCAGATATTTGGTCAATGCTGACCCTGTTGGCTTGGTCTGAGAATGGAAGAAAATATATTTAAAAACCCAGCAGGATTTTTCTTAGTAGGATTTCACTGTCAGAACTAACCTCTAATATGCTCCTCAATTACCCAACTTCTTTTGTATTTCTCTATAATAATGATATTCTTAGAACCAAAGTAAATTGCCCTCAATCCTACATTCCAAAAAAAAGCTTGTTTTTTTATTGTGCTTTTTAGAACATAAGATGATTGGTGTCGTTGGAGCAATGCTGTATGGAGTGGCTAATGCTGCTCAAAGATACAATGGAGTCTGAGTCAATACAAATAAGTTATTCCTGATTTTCATGGAAATGCTCCATTCTCTCCCCTTCACCATCTGTTTTGAAATTCAGGACTTTGTTTACTTTCCCCAAATTAGTACGCCATTGCCTTATCCCTGGATTCCTCCACTCTGGGAAACATACAACTAGTATTTTTTCTTCCTCCTTTTGATGTTGCTGGCATCTCAGTTTGCCTAATTGTAGGTGAAGCACTTCAGTCATAAAAGATCACCTTTACCTTTAATCCAGCCCAAGTGTTTGGGGCACTGCACACCAGTCCTCAATCCTCTTGGAGGGGAGATTAGTGAATCTCCCCAGGATTCACCATAAATTGTATCAAATCTATCATGTAGATAAATCAGTTGAGTAGTGACATTCGTAAGATTTTTGTCGTCTCACATCCTTTTAGAACACTGATGGTATATTCATGAACATAGAGGCAAAAATCCTGAACTGAATATAAGCAAAGCAAATCTAATAACGCAAAAAAACCCCCACTATAACCAAGGTGGGTTTAATTCAAGAGTCAAAATTACTTAAAAAATTTGTTAGTGTAGTTCACCCACATTACTAGAGTATAGGAGAAAGCCTGAATTATCATCTCAATAGACGCAGAACAAGCATTCAATAAAATTCAGCATCCATTCATAATGGAAACTACTAACAAACTAGGGAGAAAAGGAAACTTCTTTAAGTTGATAGAATCTACCAAACACTACCACAAATATCATATGCAATAGTGAAACGTTTTAAATCAGGAACAGGGCAAGAATGCCTGCTATCACTACTTTCATTCAATACTGTATATATGGGAAGACCTATGCTACACAATTAGAAAGAAAAAAAGATGAAAGGGTGAAAAGGGCCTTGAGCTTGAATTGTCTGTACTTCTAAAAGATCAAGCCCTAAGAAAGGAGACTAAGGAAGGAGAAACAGAGGTAGCCACAGAGGGGACAAGGCCTCAGCATGGCCGGAGAAGCAGTGCGTCTGTGCGCGCCCGGGATCTGAACCCGGGCCGCCTGCATCGGAGCGCATGCACTTAACCGCTAAGCCACGGGGCCGGCCCTCTTTCTTCCAATATTGTTCTCCAGCACAACTCATCCACATTCCTTCAAATGTGATTATTACAATCTTTATGATATTGTTTTACACGTTAAAAATATATATGGAATTATAAGTATATACATAACTTGGGTCTCACCACACACATTGTTTGCAGTGTAATTATATAACATATAGCCAAGATTCTTTTATGTCAGCACATAAAATTCTACTCTTTTAATGGTTTAGTAGGATTTTATTCTGTGGCTATACAATATTGATGTGTATCCATGTACAGGTAGGTTTCAGCAAATGTGTGTATCACATTGCAGTAAACATTGTTATAGAGCTTTGCAATTTTTTGATCTGCTGAAATGTTTCCCTAAAAGTGGAGTTTTCAGGTTATACTGTCCAAATATTTTAAGTAGATATTATGTACTTGCTTTCTACAATCAATCAACTTATACTTCATCAGATAGTACATAAGAATGCATTTTTTCTCACTCACTCACCAGTGACTAGAATGACCAATCTTTGCAAATGTGCTAAGTAAAAACAATCTCAGTCTTGAGTAATTTGCAGTTCTTTGGGTTTTAATAAGTATGGGCATCTTTTTGTATATTTCCAGGCCTTGAAACATCCTTTATATTCTTTGCCATTTTTCTTTTGCTTGCCTTTTATTTACTATTTTGCAGAAGCATTTATATGGGGCAAATGTTTTCCTAATTAATAGGTTACCTTTAAAAATTGTTGAATTCTTTTAATTCTATATAACCAATCTTTCAATCTTTCCTTCATAGCTTCTAGCTCTTGTGTCTTGCTAAGAACACACTTCCCCAACACAAAGATTATGTAAATACTTTCTAGGTTTTTTTCCCAATTAACTTTATGTTTTTATTTTTTACATTTAGCTGTAAATTTTATCAGATACTGCATGTGATTTGAAATATGACTATTGCATGGTATTTGCTGAGGGCAATTGGGCAATTGACCCAATGTGATTTGTTTAAGCATTTACTCTTTCCCTACTGTGTTCAAGTCTACATATTGATATACTAAGCTTCCATAGTCCCTCCCTCTGATTCTGCATTTTTTATTCCGAAATTTGTTGTCTGTTTAGTACGTGGCAGTTCTTCACTTTTTTAAATAGTGTAACTGATAAGGCACGTGCTATCAACTTTATTTTTTTATGTGTTAATTCCCCCAACGATTTTTAGATGTTAATTGGAATTAATTAAATGTATAGATTAATTCAGAGACAATCATTAGCATTGCAATATTCCAAGACCTACCCAGTATTGTTCTATTGCTCTTTATTTGTCAAGCCTACTTTCATGTTCCCCAAATGTGCTATTTTATTCTTTGTATGCTTGTTACACATTTTTACCTAAATTTCCAGTTTTGTGTTATTTTTTACAGCTATCATGAACTGGACATTTTTTTCACTGCTGTCTTTTCTATTAGTTATTGTTGTTATAAAGAGAAAGGCTCTGGTTTTGTACTCTACTTGGCTCCTTTAATGTCTTTTATTAGTTTTATTAATTTTCCCTTTATTCTCCGGAATATATTTCATCTTAAAATAATAATACATTTTATTTTCCTTGACATTTCTATATTTACATTTTTTTTCCCCTGTTTCAGCTGTTGAAATCTGCAGAAAAACCAGAATAATAGAGGTGATGACAAATGTTCTTCTCTTGTCCTTGACCCCCTGGCATTTTTAGTATCCTTTCTTGTTTTCATTTTGTTTTGCAGTTTGGTTTTGAGGAACATAGTATTGAGAAATTTTTTTCTTTTCTCAGTTTACTTGGAGTTTTACTTTTATTTTTGGTTTTGCTTTATTCAGAATAGGTTTAATTACATAAAATATCCTCTTTGGCAGCTCTGAACGTACAATGTTTTTTCTTCCCTCCTTTAATCTCTAGTAAAAACAATCCACTAATAATTTAATAATGTTCTATTTCTGATATAAGTCCTACTTGCTCATAGTACGATACTTATTTTAACGTACTGCTGGAGGAATTTTGTTAAATTTTTCTCAGGAATTTTTATCTGGAATTATATTAAAAATAGACTTTAATTTTTATGATTGCTCTATCTTTATTTGATTTTAGTATTGCTGTAATTCTAGTTGTAAAATAAATTTTGAAGCTCTGTATATTTTTGCTAAGTTATCAAATAGTTTAAAAATATAAATTAAATGTATTTTTAAACTTTTATTAAAGTCTGTAATAAATATATCTGACCTTGTCAGCTTTATAGTTCTACAATGTTTTCATGTTTTCTTATCAGCCTATCCAAATTAGCTGCCTTTCCCTAAACTGGTATCACAGGTTTATTTTCAAAGTAAATTATCCCTATTTCATCTATATTTCAAAACATTGAAAAAAATTTCAACATATTCTCTCATGGTCTGGTGAATTTTCTCCAGCTCTGTGATTATAGCGTTTTCATATATTTTAATGACAAGGAATTTTATGTTTTTCCATCTTACATTTTTCAGGATATCAGCAGTTTTCTATTATATGGATTTTTGTTCATCCAAAAAACTTGCTTCTTTTTTAAACATATTTTAATGTTTTCTACTTTGCTGATTTCTGCTTTCATTTTAATTAATTCCTCGTATTTTGTTTGCATTTATTTTTTCTGTGTCCTTTAAGTGCCTACCATTATCTTTTCCAATATTTTTTAAATTAACACACTAAAATGATGATTATTTTTAGTATAGCTATGACTATAAATTTGTTAGTATCTAATAATCTATCATTTCCGTTTTAATTTTCTAATTGATCCTAGTTATTTTGAAGAGTTTGTATTTCCAAGTGTTTATAGAATTTCCTTTTTTAACTTTCTCATCATTGAATATTAATATTATGTTACTATCACTGAGTACTGGTAGTATTAATTTTATAATTAATTTTTATAATTAATAATTTTACTGGTATAAATTAATTTTGTTAATCCTTTTATCCTTATGTTTAAAGGTAAGTGTGTGTAAATCTCCCACTATGATTGTTGCTAAATCAAAATCTTTACAGGCTTATTAGAATTTGTGCCATTTTTCTATTATGCTATTCAGTATACAAAGATTCCTGTTCTGCTGGTAATTGCAAACAAATTATGTGCTGTTAAACCATTTGCCCTTAAATTTTACTTAACTTTATATTGTCACTTGCTTTCTTTTTCCCTGGGGTTTTGCCATATGCCTTTTCTTGTTCTTGATTTTCAATATTGCTTTCCATTTCTGTATAATTTTACAAGTTGTGTAAGTAATTCTATCAGATCTAAGCTTTCCTTTCATTGAATAACTAGATTATTGTACTATTTTGTTATTATAACACATACTGCTATGAACATTTCTGAGAATGTCCCCTGGTGCACATCTGAAAGAAATTCCCTAGAGTATACACCCAGGAGTAGAATTGCAAAGCCACAAAGTACAAAAATATTTGACTTTATAAGATGATGCTATTTTTTTTAAACAAAGCAGTTGTACCAGTTTATGCTGAAATTGAGTTCTTATTTTTCTCCTGGTAACTTTTCCTATCAGATTTTCAAATTTCTATCAATCTGGTAATTATAAAATGGTACCTGAAACTGATCTTAATTTGCATTTCTCTAATCAGTAATGAGATTAAACACCTTTTATTTTGGGGTTGTTTACATGTATTGTGAAGTGATTATCACAATTGGTTCAGTAACATCAAACTTCTCACATAGATGCAATAGAAGGAAAAGAAAGAACAAAAGGAAAATTTTTCTCCTTATAATGAGAACTTTCAGGATTTACTCTTAATAACTTTCCTGTATATCATACAGCAGTGTTAGCTTTAGTCATCATGTGATACATTAAATCTCTAGTACTTATTTATCTTATAACTGAAAGTTTGTACCTTTTGACAACCTTCCTGCAATTCCTCCTCTTCCTACCCTCTGCCTCTGGCAACACTGAGTCTGATCTCTTTTTGTGTGAGTTGTTTTTTTTTAGATTCCACATCTAAGTGAGATCATATAGTATTTGTCTTTCTCTGTCTGCCTTATTTCACTCAGCATAACACCTTCAAGGTCCATCCACGTTGTCACAAATGGTAGGATTTCTCTGTTTTTTTATGACTAATACTCCATTGTATATATATCACAACTTCTTTATCCGTTTGTTCATCGATGGACACTTAGATTGTTTTCTGTCTTGGCTATTGTAAATAATGCTGCCGTGAACATGGGGGTACAGATATCTTTTCAAGTTAGTGCTTTCATTTCCTTTCGATATATTCCCAGAAGTGGAATAGCTGGATCATATGGTAGTTCTATTTTAAATTTGTGAGGATCCTCCATACTGATTTTCATAGTGGCTGTACCAATTTACAATGTCAGCACAGCACAAGGGTTCCCTTTCCTCCCCATCCACGCCAACATTTGATATCTCTTGTCTTTTAGATGATGGCCATTTTAAAGGCGTGAGGTGAAATCTCATTCAGTTTTAATTTGTATTTCCTAGTAACTAGTCATGTGGAGCATCTTTTCGTGTACCTGTTGGTTTCTGTGTTATCTTCTTTGGAGAAATGTTTATTCAAGTCTTTTTTTCACTTTTTAATTGGATTTTTTTTTTTTTTTTTTTTGCTATTGAGTTGTATGAGTTCTTTGTATATTTTGGATATTAACCCCTTATTAGATACATGGTTTACAAGTATTTATTTTTCCCCATTCCACAGGTTGTGTTTTCACTTTCTTGATGGTTTCTTTTGCTGTCAGAAGTGTTAGGTAGGTAGATGTAGTCCCACTTGTTTATTTTTGATTTTGTTGCTTGTGTTTTAGGTGTCATACCCAAAAAATCATTACCAAGACCAATGTCAAGAAGCTTTATTTCTATGTTTTTGATTAAGCATTTTTGATGTGTTTATTGGCCATAATTATTTCTTATTCTGTGAAATGATTGTGACTTTTGTCCAATTTTTTATTTCTTACTGATTTTTAAACTATATATTCTGGATACCAGTCTGTAATTGCTTATATGTGCTGTTTTTCTCATTTTCTGTTGCTTTTTACAACTTTATGGCATATTTTCATTAACCGCATTCTTAACTTTAATGTAGTCCAATTAATCTATTTTTCTTTCCAATAAAATTTTCTCTGTTTAGGAAATTCTTCCCTTCTCTAAGACCAGAAATATAGTATTTATTTTTTAAGATGTCAAGGTTTTGTTTTCGTGTTTAAATCCTTATTCAATTTCTAAATAATTTTTTGTGTATGGTGTGAGGTGGAAATGTTTTCTTTTCTTTATGAATAATTATTTTTTCAACATCATCCATTAAGTAGCTTTTTCTTTTTCCACCGATCTCCGATGCTATCTTGGCTGTATATCAAATATCACTTAATGCTTATGGAGGGTAAATTGAAACAGCTATGCAGGTAATTTGCAATATCAATAAAATTTACAAGTAAATAATCTCACTTTTAGAAATTAGTCCTATATAGCTCCACATTTGAAATATCATTAGAATAAAGGTATTTGTAGCAACAGTCTTTGTAATAGCAAAAAATTGAGAACAACCTAAATTTCCATGAGTATGAACAGATGAAAAAAAAATCATGCCTTTATATAATAAAATCATATACAGTTTTTAAAAAAATATGTAAGGATAACCAGGAATTGTTAAAACTGTTTTGTTATTCCCTCTGCAGATTATTTACATCTATAGAAACCCCAAGGATGTTTTGATCTCATATTTTCATTTTTCGAATTTGATGGCTCTATTAGAAGCTACAGGTAACTTAGAACATTTCATGAAAAGGTTTCTAGATGGAAAAGGTAACTATGAATTTATTTATCAGGCAACATGTTTATGAGGCAACGTTGTCATTTAGCCAAATTCTTGAACTTGTTAGAGAACATATTTTAGAGATGGAGAAGGGTAATGATAGAAGGTGGAAGGCACATAAATGGTTACTATTGTCTGTCAACTTAATCTGCCACTCAATGGGTTTGCTATTCTCACTAGGACCATTTTGGGGATTATCAAGTTTGCAAAAGCATGTTGTTTAAGAAATATTTTGACCAAATCACAAGAGAACCACAAATGGTCTAGCAATTCAAACTATGTTGATCCAAAGCTAGAGCCATGTGTTCCAAAATAGCTAATGTTCATTCAGGGTGAGTGTAATTTTTGTGTTCTGTTATGAATCTGTGGTAGGCCTTACATGGTAGCTGTGGAATTCATTCCAACGCTGAGGAGGATAGGTTGATTCAAGAGGCTGGTGGAATGTGAACTTGGAGCTCTCACTCATTTAGAAGATTATATTGTTTCTGTCTCATTGTAGATAAAGCAGCTATGCCAAGATCTTAAAATAGAGAATAAGAGGAGAAATAAAGAAGTATGTTTTCAGGTGGAGGAAGTAGGGAAAGGAAAGGGCTTACCTTAAAGAAGTCTTCAAAATTAGTTCTTTGGGCTTCTTTTTTCTTCATTCCTGCTTTCCTATAGAGTACTTTGCAAAGGCGGGCTTCTATTAAAATCATGTAGTTGTTCCCCAAAACACTATTTTTAAAGAGTAGCATAGATGTTCAGTGGTGGGAGGTTTACTTTTCATTCTAAGGATTCCAGAACAGAAAAGAAAGACTGTAGTTTGCTGCTCAATAAGTGCAACACTTTTACCTTTTTACTTATTAATTTTCCCCACAGTTTGTGCTAACCTTTGGTTTGACCACATCAGAGCCTGGTATGAGCACAGAAGTGAATTGAATATTCTGTTCATGATGTATGAGGAGATGAAGAAGGTAAGAGGAGAAAGTTAAATTTCTTTGGAAGTCTTTCTCATCCTGGTGTCATTGAACCACATTCCCCTAGTTATCTTTGTACCTAACTGCTTCTCAGACTTTTTTTGAGGTTTCTAATTTCCTGCCTATCACTTAATTACCAGTCATCCTCAGGGATCTCCTCTCACTGTACACAGTCATCTTTGTGATCCCTTTTCGTGTAACCACCTGCAGCAGTAAAAGAAAATTCAATTGTCTAGAGCAGCCATAGCTTAAAATAGAGAAAGGGCACTGTGGAGCCCTGGGGTCAGAAGCCACAAAGATACGGCTAAATAGAGGTGAATGTGTGTCCTGTGATGCAAGTTCTTCCTGTTTTTTATTTTTTTATGGGAATCTTAAATGTAACTTTGATGTGAAATCACATAATGTTAACATGTTACCATCCAATCAAAGCTGTCTTAAAACATTACATAAACCAAATGACACACATTTGAAGCTTCCTATTTTGTGATCTCTGGTTGATATGTTGATTCACTAATATGTAATTTATTAACTCATTTCTTCAAGAATTATTGAATGCCTACCATGAGAAAGGCACTAAATCATGAGACAAAGAAGATTGAACCCTTCATTTATAGAGCATATAATCCCACAGGAAAGTCAGATATTCCCCAAGCAGGTATATAAAATTCAAAAATGTGATAAGGGTTGTTAAGGAACACTGCAGGTATGATGTCAATGAATGGAATAAGGGTATCTGGTAGAGTCAAAGGTGACAGGTAGTGTTTTCTGGAAAAAGTAACATAATAACTGCAAGCTAATGAATGTGAGTTAACAGAAGGAAGAGAAGTAAAGAAGAATTCTAAGCCAAAGAAAGGGGATGTGCAATTCCCTGATGTCCTAAAATACATGACACCCTTGAGGAACTGAAGGAAAAAGTTAAAGAGCAAGTGGAAGTGATAAAAGATTTAGATCGAGAGGTTTCTAGGAGCCAGAGTGTGCTAGGTCTGCAGACTATGTTCATGTCAGTGGTTTCTTTAATCATAAAAACAGTCAGGAGCCCTTGAAGATTTACAGGTTGGATAGCAATGTGATAGAATTAATATTTTTAGAATATCATTCCCATTAGAGGATTGAAAAGTGACAATAGTGAATATAGGCAAACTAGTAAGAGACCATTGACTAATTCACTGAAAATCATTCATGCTTTGGATGGAATGGTATCACTGACATTGGAGAGAATGCAGAGCTTAAAACATATTTAGGAGGTAAAAAGGAAAAGGAGTATATATGGGAAAAATGATAAAAAGAGAGGTGTCAAGGATGTTTCCTAATTCCTGGTTCACATAACTATGTAGATAATGGTGTCATTCATGAGCGTGTTTAGGGGACACTGAAGCGGGATATGGCTAGAGGGAGAAGATTATGAAGTTGGTTTTGACATACGGAGTTCAAGGCGACTTAGTAGTATCCAAATGAAGGTGTTGGAAATAAGTCGAAAATGCAGTTCTAAAGCTCAAAGAAGAGATTTGTGCTAAAAATGTCAATGATCTTAATTTGGGCATCATCACTAACCTGGATAAAATTGAGAGTGGGAAGGGATGGGGCAGAGGGAGAGCGAGGAAGAAGGGAGTGAAAAGGAGGGAGGGAGGGAGAAGACTATGTTACTGAGAGACCTTAAGGTATATAAAGCATGGATAGAGCAGGATGAGTCCACCAAGGAAACAGAAAAGGAGAACTCAGAGAGAAAGAAAGAAAAAGAGGCATGTGTGGTGACATAGAAGCCAAGCAGTTGTGTCAGGAAGGAACTTCTAGGTCCTTTTAAGATGTTTAAGGCTGCTGAGAAGTCAAGTCAAAAAGAGAGTTTATAATGTCCATTACATCAAGTGATGTGAAGTGTAGTATGAGGTACAGTAAACTGGATTGGAGTGGGTTGGGGAATAAATGCCAAATATATATCACCAGCCCAGACACATACGTATTGTAACTCTCTTCTATATACCTACTTTTATATCTAATATTTGGACTTCAAACAAATCATGTCCAGAAGAGAATTTATCACCTCCCAACAAAAGCTGCTTCTTCTATCATGAATTGCACTGTAATTCAAGTGACCTAAATCAGAAACCAGGCTTGATATTAACACCTACTTCACTGTTGCACCTTCATTTCATCAATCAATCACTGAGTCACGCGAATTGTGTTTGAAACCTCTGTGGAAGACACAACTTACCTCAACCCACTTGCCTCTTCCCTAGTCCTGGTCACCATCATCTTTTGCTTAGTTTCTACAGCAGCCTTCCTAATTGATGCATCCACCTTCAATCTTACGTCATCTTCATTTATTCTCCATTCTTCAACCAGAGTTGTCATCTGAAAATGCAAATCTGATTCCTTCCCTACATTTATGTTTGAATTCTTCCATAAGAATATGTTCACAACAAAAGCATTCATAAACAATAGAATTACTGAAAATGTGGACAAAGAGACCCCACTGTAAACTATGCAAAATCTCTTGAATGTTTCTCTGTTCTGTCATCAATATACTATCACCAGGTATAACTTTTCTCTTACCTTCCACCAAGCAGCCCATTGTTAATGTATTTTTGATCTTGGTTTCCCAACAGCCTTTCAAAATATTTTTTTAACCACATAATAGGAAAAGGATCTTCTTTCAATTTACCCTGTCAGGGAAGATAGATCTTAGTCAACTCAAATTTTTCTCTTTAAAACTATTTCTAGAATAAGATCTCAATTTTCTCAAGGACTGAGGTATAAAACGGTGTTGGTGTAGATTTTGAGGCCTTCCCTGATCTGCTATTTCCCTTGGAAATGTCTTATAAATTTTACCTAGTACTGTTAGGTCTGGTTCTCCAATGGTATTTGCATCAGAAACACCCAAAGCCCATATAGCTTAACTCAGAGGATTTTGCAACTTTCCCACTGACATAGAGGTGATATTTCCAGGAACATATGACTATAAAAAATCATTTACTACTTTCCTGTTTCTACTGTCCGGTAGTAGGTAGTTAGAATGGAGGCAGAAATGGCTATATTGTTTGTGGTTTCATATTTACATGATAAAACTATAAATAAGAGTAAAGAAATAACCATTATAGAAATAAGAATAGTTATTATTTGAAGGAGGGGAATGCAAGGCTTATGATTAGGAAAGAGATGTGTTTGGTGGGGTTCTGGAATACTGCCATTGTTCAATTTCTTGATGTATATGTTGGAACCATGAGTGTTCACTTCATAATAATTCATTAAGCTGTGTATTTGTTTTTATGCCTTTTCTGCATTTGTGTTTTATTTTAAAATGTAAAAAAAAAATCTTAAGAAGATTTTATTTATCTTAAGAGAACTGAGGAACTATTCAGTGGCATATCTTGGAGATAGCCTAATATAGTGAAAGATTGAATCTTGCCCCTCCTGTAATCTTTCCTTTATATGTAGTAATTGGCTGAAAACTTCAGTAAAGAAATTCTTAGATACCTGTTGCCTGGGTGTGGTAATCTTTGGAGACTGAAGTAATAGGGTGGTAAACGAGAAGAGTTCTCATTGTCTTGCATGAAGGATAGTTTACTACTTTGTGGAATATGGCTCAGAATAAAGGACACTATTAAGTGGAAGTATTGGAGAACGGCTCCCCTGCTGAAGAAAGATGCTAAGTGGAGAACTTTACAGAGACATAGAAAAGTCTTACAAACTGCCTTACAAGCAAGGAAGGCTTTTTAGAGGAAGCTGATCTCTGTTTTGTCTCTCCTTGAGGTATCATTCTGAATGTTTCCTTCTATCCCTAGCTCCCAGTTCACTGTTTCTTCATTCATCTGAGTCAAATGTGCTATTAAAATTATTCACCAAGGTCTTCATTTCTATTCATGAATTGGGATTGATTTTAAATATGCTATATTATTTTTTATAGTTTCTGCTTTAAAATAAAATTTTTATTTTTGACTTTTATCATCTTGAATACCACAACCATAGTTATTTAAAAATTCTTTCTGATGATTGCAGTATCTGTAACGTATGTCATTCTATTTCTATTTTCTTTACCTATGCTAGTTCTTGGCAATATTGTCTTATCTCTTCATGTTCTTGCATATCGTGATTGCATGTTAGTTATTGTATATAAAACTTCTTGTAGAAAGAATTTGATAACTAGGGTCCTGTTATTTTACTCACTGACCATACTCAACCTCTTGCACTGACTGTTGCCACCTGAAAGGTAAATGCTAACATACTCAGCAAGCTCAGCAGGGCCCTTCACCCTGTCCTCAACCTGCCTCTCCACTACATTACTCATGAGTCTATCAAGTACCAAGCACACGGAAGTTCAATTTTCATTAGATATGGAGGGCATTTCAAGTTTCTCTAATTTGGGACTTTTTTTACACTCAGAAAGTAATTCTCATGATTTTCCAGGGATATTTCTTATTCTTCCTTCTTGAATTGGAAGAAATGTTTTTTCTTCTTGAAAATTGCTCTAACCTCTCCTAATCTCTCTCTCTCTATGAACTACCATTGCACATTGTGTTTCTGTTTCCAGTTTTCCCCCAATGTATTTTTTTATTGTGCCAAAGTATCTGTAACATAAAATTGACCATTTTATCCATTTTTAAGTGTACAGTTCTGTGGCATTAAATACATTTATATTATTGTGAAACCATCATCCCCACCTATCTCCAGAGCATTTTTTTCATCTTGCAGAACTGAAATTGTGTACCCCAAAACAATAACTCCCCATTCTCCTCTCCTCTCAGCCTCTGGCCACCACCATTCTATTTTCTGTCTCTATGAATTTGATTTCTCTAAGTATCTCATCTGAGTGGAATCATACAGTATTGGTCCTTTTATGAGGGGCTTAATTCAGTTAGCATAATGTCATCAAGATTCATCCATGTTGTAGCATACGTCAGAATTTCCTTCCCTTTTAAGGCTGAATAATATTCCATTGTATGTATCTATCACATTTTGTTTAGCCATATTCATCCACTGATGGACACAAGGATTGCTTCTCC